TTGTGGCCTGCTGGAGGTCATTTTGCAGGGCTCTGGCAGTGCACCTCCTATTACTCCTTGCACAAAGGTGGAGGTAGCGGTCCTGTTACTGGGTTGTTGCCCTCCTATGGCCTCCTCCACGTCTCCTGATGTACTGGCCTGATGTACTGGCCTGTCTCCTGGTAGCGCCTCCATGCTCTGGACACTACGCTGACAGACACAGCAAACCTTCTTGCCACAGTTAGCATTGAAGTACCATCCTGGATGAGCTGCACTACCTGAGCCACTTGTGTGGGTTGTAGACTCCGTCTCATGCTACCACTAGAGTGAAAGCACCGCCAGCATTCAAAAGTGACCAAAACATCAGCCAGGAAGCATAAGAACTGAGAAGTGGTCTGCGGTCACCACCTGCAGAACCTGTATTGGGGGTGTCTTGCTAATTGACTATAATTTCCACCTGTTGTCTATTCCAATTGCACAACAGCATGTGAAATTGATTGTCACTCAGTGGACAGTTTGATTTCACAGAAGTGTTATTGACTTGGAGTTACATTGTGTTGTTTATGTGTTCCCTTTATTTTTTTGAGCAGTGTATATATATTCCAAGAATAGTGCACTTAGGGGACTATGTAGTTGATTTTCAAATTCTTTTATTGTGCAATATAGATACACCACATTCATATCAATATTTCAGTCCTCTGTGGGACTTTTTTCAAGACGAATGTGGTGTATCTATATTGCACAATAAAATAAGTGGAAAATCAACTACAGAGTCCTGTGCTGTGAGTGCACTTTTCTTGGATTATGTACAAGACTGTGAGAGAGAGTGCCGGTACAACGTGGATATATATATATATATATATATATATATATATATATATATATATATACACACAATTATTATATAAACTTGTGGATGCTTATTAGGCATTAAAAAAATAATTATTTGTGTGTGATTTCCAGTGGAGTCTCGTTCATAGGGGCACTCAAATATATAATATATATAAATCTAGGGAACTCCAGGAGTAACAATAGCAGGGGGTATTTCTGACACAGAGCCCAGTGCAGCCTGTCACTAATAGTTTTAATAATTTCAACTGTACATACCCATCATCTTATTTAAAGTGTTCAGTCAATCTGTAGCTGAGACTGGGAAACCCATTCTGTGGCTAGTTTAAAAGTTGTGAAGCTTAAAACTGCAGAACTGGGGCTGTGACTCTGAGGACTAAATTAATTCTGTTTTTAGTCTGTTTAACCTGTTATGATTGTTGATTCTGTTAACCATGTCAGTTACTTCTTGGCTCCATATTACCACTGCAGGTTAGTTGTATTGCCTACTGCAAAGGTAATATGGAGTATACCCATATCTTGATGTTTTAACCATATGCACACTGTGTGATGAGAGCTAATGGAGTAGGTGACATGTTTCATAAAAGTAGCAATATTTAATACACAGCTAATGTTTTCAAAGCAGTAGCAATGCTAAGGATGAGATCATTAGAGGAAAAGCTAAAATAGGGCTATGTAGAGAGAACTGGAGCGTTATACAGTTATACTATGTGAGTATCTCTCTATTGAGTACTGTGTGAGTATCTCTGTATTTAAGTTCTGTGTAATTCATCACAGAGATATTTACTGTGTGAAGGTATGAGTATCTCTTTATTCTGCCCAGCTCTGTGTGTTATTTATATGTATTTTACATAGCTCTCCCAGTTGTGTTGGGCTTAGTATTTCATAGATATCTTTATATTTTGCCCAACTTGATTTATTGTATGCATATCTCTGTATTATGTTCAGCTTTTTGCATTGTATGAGTATCTCTGTATTGTTTAGGGAGGAGCAAAATTCTGTGGGATTTTAACATCTTAAAATTTCACCAGTCACCGCTGGTGACATCTGCACGAGCTCTTTCATATTAAACTGTGAAAAGGAGTATAATGGTGATTTATGAGTTGAATGCCAATTCCTATATTTTGTGTCTAGGGATTTTGTGGCAGTGCAGATAATCCAATGAAAGTAGATGAAAGCAGAAATCTATGTAAACTGTAACCAATACAAAGGGTATTGTAGTAATGTTGCTTTGAACATATCTTAAAATAAATGTGTGTGTATGTATATATATATATATATATATATATAAATATATATATATATATATATATATATATAAATATATATATATATATTTATTAATTAAAGGGACACTATAGGCACCCAGACCACTTTAGCTCATTTAAGTTGTCTGGGTATAGTGCCCCTGTTGCACTTAGTGCTGCAATGTCCAGAGAAACTGCAATGTTTACATTGCAGCACTAAGTCTGCCTCCAGTGACATGCGCTTTAGCGCACGCTCGATGCTGGGGTAAGGTAAGTAAATAAAAGGGTTCTAACCCTTTATCCACATCAGTGAGGGGATCACGAGGGTGGGGGGAGGTAGGAGCTATAGTGCCAAGAATACAGCTTAAGCAAAATGTATACACTTCTGTATTCTGCAACTAGGTGCCTCCATCTTACTTACTGGCAATTATTGTAATAAGCTCTGTCATTTGCCCCTGGCAGTCAGTACAGGGAAATCATACTGCTGGTGGACAGGACTCATGGCCTTCGATGAACTCAACACTTGTCTTCTGCCACCCTTAGTTGTGATAGCTCAGGTAAATTCTTATTACATGAAAGAGTGAATTTCAAAAACCTGCAGAAATCATGCACTCTTGTATTCATATAAAAACATCCCCATATTTGCTGACCTCTCTGCCTTGACCTTACAGTTTCATAAGACCCTAAATCTGCTAGCCACTACTCTCCACTCTTGCTCCATCCCTTATCAGTGAGGTTTTCCAGAAAAGCTCCTCATCCACTGAAATGGAATGAATAATCCTGTGAATTTGTTGACAGAAGACCTTCAACTGCTCCTGAATTGGAGGGCTGTGCTAAAGACTTTGTGAGGGAACATATTCTGCACCATCCACATACAGCTTATTGTACTTACTGTCTAATATTATATTTGTTTTTGTTTTTATATATTTTTTATTGTGATCCTTATTGACCATTATGTTAAGTTTTTTCCTACTTAACATTCTTAGCAATTTAGGCTAGATGTTGACTCTAGAACAGGGGGTAGAGTCAGCGCTAATCAGGAAGGCAGCAGTCCCAAACAGGGACTCCCTCTAATGTCCCTGCAAATCAAATAGTAGAAACAAGACAATAGGGGGGATGGGTCTGCGCCAATGTGTACAATAAATAATAGTATAAAGTCCAATAGAATCTGTATTGTCGTATCCAAGGTTCTACTTTTAACGATATCCAGAAGGTGTCGGTGGCGTGAAGAGTAATCCAAATGTATGATAATAGAAGAGATCTTACTTACAATTTGCAGAGCTTAATCCAGCTCTGGTGTGAATGACTTACAGCGGTGTTATCCCCGCTTGCAGGATATGTAGCAAGTGTCTTCTTTGCGATAACAGGTAACCAAGTTGGAAGATATAAAATGGAGACAGTAATAGGGCAGTATGTTCCACACGTATAGTAAAAATTTTAAAATATAATAGATACACTCACATTTGGTAGAGCTTTGACTAGCTCTAGTTGGTTAGGCGTACAGCGGTATCATCCCCGCTTGTAAGATATAGGGTGAGTGATCTTGATGAGAATATCAGGAGCTCGGAGAGAAGATAAAACAGCGAAAGTGCTCTCAATAAAATTTAGATAATAGAACAAAATAATAAAATATACTCACACTTTATAGGGCAGGCTAACTGCTCTATGTTACAGCGTAGGTGGTATAATCCCCACCTGGGATTCTTTGGAGTATAGTATGCAGGAGTTAAAAATAATAAAAGAATATAATGATATAAAATATATATAAAACGTATATAAAAGGCCAGGTAATAAAAAAAGGAGAAAAGATGATGGTTTAAATGTAAAAATGACCAAAATCTTTTTATTAGCAATATATAAAACAGTAAAAAGTATCCAAACGCGTTTCGCCAGTATAAGGCTTTATCAATGGATAGTAAACATATCAACCTGGCTGGTTAGAGTTTATATAGGTATAAAATTAGTTTAAAATTGGCGCCAAAATTGTGCAACCAATGGTAAAACAGATCTTTTTTGCAATTATAAAACAGCTTTTAATGATAACAGTTGAATAGATGTAACTTGTCTGATGCTTATAATATAATTTTTTTATGAAAACGAGCGTTTTTTTATGATTAATTTCATTGTTTTGGCCGGACCATGTGACGCGCGTCATAAGCGTGACGTCACTTCCGGTCCGGACGGAATCATGGGGCATGTAGTTGTAGGATAAGCTACATGCAGGGGAATTACATGGAGCCCAGCATTGGGCTAAGGGGAGGAGAGGGAGGTGGGTAGAGGGTGTGCTCAAGACAATCACGTGACGCACGTCATAGACGTGACGTCACTTCCAGCCGCACGGGATGCTGGGACATGTAGTTTACATGTATAAAAAGCTAATAGAGCCCTCTATTGGGCTAGGGGGAAGGGGAAAAGAGTCCAAAAACAATGATGACGGCGGCCATCTTAGGTGGGGAATATGGGGCATGGAAATAACATAATAGGTGGCCATGATACTAGGGGCAAATTTTGCAACTTAAACACATAAAAAAAAAAAAAAAAGTTGATACTTAATAATAAAATAAACATAAGAGAAATATTGGTACATATAAAAATGGTACATATTAAATCTTTAACACATAAAAAAGCTGATACTTAATAAAATAAACATAAGAAAAATACTGGTACATATTAGGATTTAAAAAGCAAGATAGGAACCTGATAATAGTAATGGAATATAAAATAGTTAGATAAAATTAAATAAATCAAAATCTGCATTTAAGCCATTTGGAATCAGTGTTTTAAGGGTAAAGACCCATTCCATTTCACATTTGCCTAAAATATTTTTTATGTTACCTCCTCTCCATGGAATGGTGCATTTTTTTATGCCAATACATTTTAAAAGACCAGGTGTTTTAAGGGTAAAGACCCATTCCATTTCACATTTGCCTAAAATATTTTTTATGTTACCTCCTCTCCATGGAATGGTGCATTTTTTTATGCCAATACATTTTAAAAGACCAGGTCTTTTAAAATGTATTGGCATAAAAAAATGCACCATTCCATGGAGAGGAGGTAACATAAAAAAATATTTTAGGCAAATGTGAAATGGAATGGGTCTTTACCCTTAAAACACTGATTCCAAATGGCTTAAATGCAGATTTTGATTTATTTAATTTTATCTAACTATTTTATATTCCATTACTATTATCAGGTTCCTATCTTGCTTTTTAAATCCTAATATGTACCAGTATTTTTCTTATGTTTATTTTATTATTAAGTATCAGCTTTTTTATGTGTTAAAGATTTAATATGTACCATTTTTATATGTACCAATATTTCTCTTATGTTTATTTTATTATTAAGTATCAACTTTTTTTTATGTGTTTAAGTTGCAAAATTTGCCCCTAGTATCATGGCCACCTATTATGTTATTTCCATGCCCCATATTCCCCACCTAAGATGGCCACCGTCATCATTGTTTTTGGACCCTTTTCCCCTTCCCCCTAGCCCAATAGAGGGCTCTATTAGCTTTTTATACATGTAAACTACATGTCCCAGCATCCCGTGCGGCCAGGAAGTGACGTCACGTCTATGACGTGCTTCACGTGATTGTCTTGAGCACACCCTCTACCCACCTCCCTCTCCTCCCCTTAGCCCAATGCTGGGCTCCATGTAATTCCCCTGCATGTAGCTTATCCTACAACTACATGCCCCATGATTCCGTCCGGACCGGAAGTGACGTCACGCTTATGACGCGCGTCACATGGTCCGGCCAAAACAATGAAATTAATCATAAAAAAAACGCTCGTTTTCATAAAAAAATTATATTATAAGCATCAGACAAGTTACATCTATTCAACTGTTATCATTAAAAGCTGTTTTATAATTGCAAAAAAGATCTGTTTTACCATTGGTTGCACAATTTTGGCGCCAATTTTAAACTAATTTTATACCTATATAAACTCTAAACAGCCAGGTTGATATGTTTACTATCCATTGATAAAGCCTTATACTGGCGAAACGCGTTTGGATACTTTTTACTGTTTTATATATTGCTAATAAAAAGATTTTGGTCATTTTTACATTTAAACCATCATCTTTTCTCCTTTTTTTATTACCTGGCCTTTTATATACATTTTATATATATTTTATATTATTATATTCTTTTATTATTTTTAACTCCTGCATACTATACTCCAAAGAATCCCAGGTGGGGATTATACCACCTACGCTGTCACATAGAGCAGTTAGCCTGCCCTATAAAGTGTGAGTATATTTTATTATTTTGTTCTATTATCTAAATTTTATTGAGAGCACTATCGCTGTTTTATCTTCTCTCCGAGCTCCTGATATTCTCATCAAGATCACTCACCCTATATCCTACAAGCGGGGATGATACCGCTGTACGCCTAACCAACTAGAGCTAGTCAAAGCTCTACCAAATGTGAGTGTATCTATTATATTTTAAAAAATTTTACTATACGTGTGGAACATACTGCCCTATTACTGTCTCCATTTTATATCTTCCAACTTGGTTACCTGTTATCGCAAAGAAGAAGACACTTGCTACATATCCTGCAAGCGGGGATAACACTGCTGTAAGCCATTCACACCAGAGCTGGATTAAGCTCTGCAAATTGTAAGTAAGATCTCTTCTATTATCATACATTTGGATTACTCTTCACGCCACCGACACCTTCTGGATATCGTTAAAAGTAGAACCTTGGATACGACAATACAGATTCTATTGGACTTTATACTATTATTTATTGTACACATTGGCGCAGACCCATCCCCCCTATTGTCTTGTTTCTAGATGTTGACTCTGCCCAATAAATTTGCATTTGATACGCAGTTGTTCAAGAACTTAACCTCTCCGCAATGATTATTGTTGGCTCATCAGCCTGTTTCTATTGAAATCAACCTCAAAATAAAACAAATAAATAAATAAACAGGAAAATACAAAAAAGGAAAAACAAAACAAAAAAACTACTAACCATACAGTATCTGTATTTCTTTATCAGCTGGCAGGAGATCTAGAATTGCTATGAAACTTTTGCAAATTTCGATTAATTTGTGAGGATTAGGAGTCCCTAATGTATTAACTCAATGTGGTGTTAACAAAGGCTTTACCCTATTTTCTCCACTCAGAAACCCCACAGTGGATTTCTATCAAAATAATCTGATGAGACCACACCAAATGTCCCATATATTATGTCTCCCTAAACAATATCAACCCCTCCCTTTTCAATGCCTCCCTACAAGCTGGGTTACCTCTTCAGCTATGGGACAAATACAGGTATCGCCTATGTAATACAGAGCAGCCATGTCTGATGATTTCAGGTGTGTCTCTTCCTAATTGTATTCCCACTTTTAATGCTAAGCCCTGGTGTGATTACACATCTCTATCGAATTGTCAACCTTGTGTCCCTTATAGGTTTCAAGAAGCTTCAAGTGTTATATTTACTCTCGGATAGCTTTATCTACTCCTACCTCAAATTACACTCGTATTACTACAATTACAGAAGCAATGATTTCTTCAGGGGTTTACTTCAGGTAGGATCACACATTGGGAATAAATATGTATAAATAGTAAATTGACACCTAACTGTAAACCAAGTTCCATATGTTAACGGCTACTCTCCATGAAACACCTTCCTATCAATCTAAATTTGCACAACAACAAATCTGATCTACAATGTATATCCCCAGAACAGTGGAATCCCATGCTTATTGTACAAAAATAACTAATTAGATCCACAGCTCATTTTGAACAATGTAAAATTATTTATACATAGTATATGGTACTGGTTCAGTTATTCCCCAATACCTCCTTGAGCTGCTGGTGTTGTGGCAAGGCAGAAGGTATGATGTATCATGTATGGTGGGACTGTACTGATATTTTCCACTTCTGGAAAAATATTCATGAAACTATTAAGGAAGTGATAGCGCTACAGTAGAGATGTCGCGAACCGTCCGTGAACGGTTTGCCGCGGTGGACAACATGGATGCTGTCCAGGAAGTAGGAGGGTCTGGGAGGGAGGGTCTGCTGGAGATTGGCCGAGACGTGTCAGCTGACCGGAGTTCGCCACGAACAGCTCGTGGCGAACCGTTCGCAAGAAGTTCGCGGACGGTTCGCGACATCTCTTCTCTACAGATTAGTTTTATGCCTCTCACCTACCAATTATTAGACTTACTCTATAAATTTCCTTGAGACAAATTAAGCATTATATTAACTGTTCAACAAAGCTTAGTGAGGACTTGGAAATCCACTTTTCCTTCAAAGGAATCGACAAGCAAAGCATTTCTGAATGAATATTTAAAACCCTTCAAAGGTTTTTCTCAATGAAGGGACCTTATGACACATATAGTAATTTGGTTCTGTTACACAAGGTAAAAATAACACTTTTCCTGAATTATTCTTGGATTGGGACTAAACTAATTTTGGTTGCACAGTAACAGGGGGGTTACTGAAACATTTTAATATATAAACAGCTGCGTACAAATAGTGTAGAATTGCTCATACTGTGTTGTTACATGGTGATATTAGCTGTACATTGTATTATCTGTGATGTTTATATTATGACTTGTGAAAAAGTGATGTCCTCCCTTTTCTTATTTTCTACCCCTTCCCTTTATTTTAAAAATCAATAAAAGTCAAATGTAAAAAAGAAAAAAAATATGAAAAGTACTAAAATCTGGCAACTTTTATCAAAAATATTTTTTACAAAACATGCAAAACTAATTATATTTACAAAAAAATTTGACTAGAGAGAAAAATCAACACATTGGAGAAAATATATATGTCAGGTACTAGTTCAGCGTCCACAATGATTCCAATAAAATAAAGATGTTTTGGATTTGTATTTCTCTTATCTACCTCTGTTGATACATATCAACCTAACACATTGCCAATGTAAGGTTATTAGAAAAACAAGTTATATGCAGAATGTGTATAGTATCTAGGAAGCATAAAAGTATCAGTAGATATTGTCAGAGATTTAAAAAATCACCACAAGGACTTAAGAAAGTAGTTGTTTTTTTTTTGTTTGGGAGTCCTGATGCTATTTTTAATTCTATTGGATACGTAGAATCACAAAAAAGCCAGAGGAGCTTTAGATTAAAATAGATTTTAAAAAATCGTGCAAATACTGCATTGTTTGAGTGGTATGGAGGTCCATCCATCTGGAAGTCCATACTAAAGATCAGTAGAATGGGCAATATTACTGAGAAGCCATAAAATAAAAACTTAACTAAATACATGCAGTCTATACACTAATTATTTTAATCGCCTCATACAGAGACAAATCTGAAGTACAATTGTGCAGGTTTTAAGAATCTTCTGCAGTTGATAATGTCACTTCACCTAACGTCATTCAAGGATATACTATTACTGTCACAAATGTATGCACTCTCTCAATAAAAAGTATATATGAAGAAAAAAGGTGTTTTGCAACATAAAGACAAATACATTGAAAATATTGGAGTGAACTAAAACAATTACAATTACACCAGTCCTGAGTCAAATAGCAATATCATATGTGATCATTGTTTCAGCACTTCTGAATAGATTCTCAATAGGTATTCACTCTTTTATCTGGAAGTAACTTTTGACTGAATACACTGTGACTTTTGACTGACTACACTATTTGTAAAATACAGAAAAAAACAGCACATCAGGATTTTTTATTTCTTTATTTACAAATCACCTATTTTGGACATTGTTTTAGTTTGGTTGGAAATGTATCAAACCTCACTGTTGAATGAATAGCCTATTATGTATGGGCTATTTTTAAATTCTTTTAAAAAAAATAGCAATTTCTTTCTTCCCTCCCACTAAAATACTTTCGTTAACAAATGTTGAATGTTTGGATACATATTCATCCAATTTAATAAGCAGGCAGAAAAGATTAATAGACATTGTTTTAATAAAATAGATATTAAAGTATTCTCTGACACTAGTAAGAAAATGTATTCAAATGTCACAGGATGAGAAACTATAGTGTGGAATACCATACTATCCCAACATCTTATCATAACTAATGAAGCATATAATGTATTACTATAACCTTAAATAAATGTGTTAT